GGGTTGAAGCTCAAACAAAGGTTGTATTGAAAATAGGCCAAAAATGGCCTGAGCTAAAACCCTGGTCTGGTGCCTGAGTTTCAGGGCAGGTCGAACTGACGAGGGCCTGAAAATGGCCCTCAGTTTCAGGCTGAAAACACTCAAGGCCGGAAAGGCACTGATTTAGCCTGGCACGACACAGGGCCTGTAGGCCCTCGTTTTCAGGCTTTCAGGCTGAAACGACACGGGGCATGTAGGCCCTTGTTTTCAGGCTTTCAGGCTGAAAACACTCAGGGCCGGAAAGGCCCTGATTTAGCCTGACACGACACAGGGCCTGTAGGCCCTCGTTTTCAGGCTTTCAGGCGAAAACGACACGGGGCTTGTAGGCCCTTGTTTTCAGGCTTTCAGGCTGAAACTGACATGGGGCCTCTAGGCCCTTGTTTTCAGGCTTTCAGGCTGAAACTGACACAGGGCCTGTAGGCCCTTGTTTTCAGGCTTTCAGGCTGAAACTCACACGGGGCCTATAGGCCCTTGTTTTCAGGCTTTTGGCCTGAAAACAACACGGGGTTTGTAGGCCCTCGTTTTCAGGCTTGCCTCGCATCTTGCGTTCGTAGCGTGCGAGAACATCCGGAGTTGTTGCTTGGAGTTCCGCACGGGTTAACCAACGGTCAGCTCGGTGACTGTAGTACGCAAAGTGTACCAAGTACTCGGTTGGCCTGTTGCCGTAGTGTCACTGGGAGATGATGTTGCCGACGTCTTGAAAGCCGTCGACAGAGGGTGGGTCTTGCAATCGTCGTTCGAGAAAATTGTCATGTTTCGCTGCGTGTAGAGAGCCAACTTGGAGCAATGAAAGACCGGGTAGACAGGCAAGTGGGCGGGCACCTGAATGGTGAATGAAAGTCCTTCGGGTGCATCCCCGGCGGGTGCCACGATCGGCCAAGGCCCCATCCATTTTGGGAGGAGCTTGTGAGAGATATCTTGTTCAAGGCTGAATTCCGCGGCGGAAACCCAAACGAGATTGTCGGCGCGGAATGGGCAAGGAAGACGCTGGCGATTGGCCTGTTGGCTCATGCGTTGCTGCGTCTTGGCCATCTGGTCGCGTGCCTTGACAAGTAGCTCTTGCATCCGTTGCAAGAAAAGAAGATGTTCGTCGCTCTCGGACGTTCGTGGAATGATTGTGTCCAACGGAGAAGTGACCGGCGAGCCGTGCTCGAGCTCGAAGGGCGACATCCTGATAGCCGGGTGGATGGACGAGTTGTATGCCAACTCGACATCCGGCAGCCGGTCAACCCAATCCTTTTGGTCAGGACGGATGAGAGTGTGAAGGAGAACCTGTGCAGTCTGATGCGCCCTCTCCGTTTGGCCATCGGTTTGGGGGTGGCGAGCCGAACTTGGCTTGAGAGATGAGCCCCATCGYTTGATGAGCGCCAACCAAAAATCCGACATGAACCGAGTGTCGCGGTCACAAACGATTTCCTTGGGGTAACCCTTGGTGCGAATCCAATCGGCGTACAGAACCTCGGCCAACTCCGGTGCCTTGGCATGATAGCGACAAGGCAAAAACATGGCGAACTTGGTGAGGCGGTCGACGACCGTGAGAATCCCATCCACTCCGGTCTTGTGCTTGGGGAACGGGCCGGTAATGTCCATGGCAATCGCTTCCCTTCGCCGCAAGGGGACCGGTAACGGTCACAACTCGCCGTACGGACGATGATTGTGGGATTTGCAATGCCGGCAAACCTCGCATGACTTGCAATAGCGTGTGACGTCGTCGAGAAGACCGGGCCACCAAAAGCGCTCGCGGAGCGTACGATTGACGCCAAAGTGTCCGGTGGTGGAAGCGTCGTGGAACTCGCCAAGAAGTCGTGTGCGTAAGTTTAAATCTCGTGGCACACAAAGAAGATCCTTCCCTCGCGAGTGGACGAGCAAGTACCCCTCTTGGATCCGATAGTGCGATGGCGCCGGATTAGGAGAGGAACAATTTGCGTACTTGTCACAAAACTCGGGGTCGACTTGGTAGCCGCGGATGAAGTTGTCCCGCAAGTCGTCGTCAATCTCAAAAGTCGAGTAGACTGCGGCACAATGGTCGGGACGCCGTGAAAGAGCATCCGCAAAACGGATTGACTTGCCCGGAATGTGGTTGGGGAAAAAGTCAAACTGGTCCATGAAGGCCATCCAACGGGCAACGGAGCTATTGACCGTGTCTTGGGTCTTGTAGAAGACCAATGGATTGTTATCCGTTAACCATCGGAACTGTCGTCGACTGAGAAGAAAATGCCGCCAGCGCTTGAGCACGTGTACGAAGGCCAATAATTCCTTCTTTCGTGCGTCGTCAATCGAGTGCACGACGGGCAATTTCTTGCTGTAGTACTCGATCAGGTGCCAGTCCACACTGTCATGTTGCTCGAGGACGGCACCAATGCCATAGCCGGACGCATCGGTAGTGACACGTTGTCAGGCGGCCACAAGCAGTGCGCCGCCCGAAATCTGCGGCTTTGGGGCTAAGGCTCAAAGACAAGTCCGTGTTTTGACGGTGCTCCGGGTTGACCAGGCAGCAAAAATTAGGGGAGCTCAGGACACCCATGACTATGGGCACACTGAACCTTACGAGTAGCCCTCAGAGATAGCGAGATGGGTGGCCGCACACGACACACCTAGGGACCGTTATTTCCGGCTGTTCCGAGGCTAGACCTGGGATGGCCTGCCGCGGAGAGGCATCGCGGGATCTGACCTCGCCGCAACCCGACAATGGAATTAAAAACATAGAAAAAGATTAAAAATGGTAAAAGAGAAAAGAAACAAAAGGAATACGGCCATTTATTTAAACTTTCTCAGAATTTAATTTTGGGGATTTTACGGTTAATTTACTATTTCCGACAATAGAATTAAGGAAAGGGAAGAACGATGAAAAACAGTGAAAGGGGACGGGAAACGATGACAATTGGGTCTGGGACTAATCTCGCCTTGATTACCCGCCACTAGCGCTGACCACGGATTGAACATTTTCCCCGGATTTTAATAGTTTTCACTACTGCCGATGGTCGGGGTTTCCTGCGTCATTTTCCCTGGTTTGCGTGATTACTAACATTACCACAGCTGGGATATTCTGAGAGCGGGAGTCGCATGGACAACCTGGGGTGGTGCTACCTTGGGTTGACTATGGTGTTTGGTTCGGTACGGATATGAGGGTTGTCACGAAGTGGTTACGTCCTACGATGTCTGACGTGCAACAGGTACGGTATGGGCCCGGTGACAGTTGTTTCACTACGGTGGCTTATCTTCAGGTTTGGGACAGCTGCGGTGATTTATTCTCAGGATCGGGGCTACTACGCCAGTTATTCCAGGTTTGGAACCTCGACGACAGTTTGTTTTCAGGTCCTGAAACGTCGCGGCATTCTATATCAGGTTCGGGACAGGTACGGAATTATCATGGCATGGCTGTACGGGTTCGGCATCCGCGTGGCACAGCAGCCCGGTACTGGATTGCGGGTTTGGTCAGATTCGGTGGCATCGTGGAGTTTCGTTTCAGGTTCGACGCCCTCACGACGATTTATTTCAGGTTCGGGGCCTGTATGGCGGTTTACCTCAGGATCGGTGACACCACCGCCGCTTAAACTTCAGGTTCGGAGCCGTCACACCGATTTATTTTCAGGATTGGCTCGACCACGGCACGCTAATACCGCTTCGGTACCCCTGCGGGTGCCCCTACGGCGTGACTACTTCAGGTTTGGCGGCGACACGCCAAGCTATTTCAAGTACGACATTATTGTGGATCCACCGTCTGCCTGTGCGGTAGCATCATGGGGGAACGTTATTGCACGACGTCCCTCAATTTCCTAGTTGGTACGGCTCCGGTTCTGCTGGGGTACGCAACGCTGCTTCTATTTCAGGTGGTTGAACGGGATGCTGAAGCTCCAAACCGATACTGGTGCAGTTTTCTCAAACTCCAATTCAGTTTTACGCGAATGACACACCCGACATGACCTACTGTGGTGCGGGGAAGGTTCCTTGGTACGAGCACTGCAAGAAAAGGACCTTGCTGAGGTTTTGGGAAGCGCGGATCCTCCAGTCGCAGGCTCAGCACTGGAACGATGGGCCGTGCCCCTAATTTTAAGGCCGGTCACTGTTTGGACGCTGACCCGGCTCATTGCAGTTCGGCCTAGTTTTTTTTTGGAGTCTGCTTCGCCGCATCTAGTCCGGGGGTCCGGATAAGCGGGGCTACGATGGTACTACTGGCCCGGGGCTGCCGCCGCGGCTGGGGTACGTGCTATAGTACCGGGCCACCCATTGCAAAAGTCGGGGGACTTAACGTTCTTCAGACGCAGTGTCTGGGATATATGGAAGAGGCCGTTTTACAGGGGTGGACGGACAGAGGATTGGGGAAGCATGCAAGGTGTATGTAGTGCACCGCAGAGTCACGCAGGCAGTTACGGGGAACGGAGAGAGGAATTCGGGATAGCATGCCAGGCGTACCCGGCGTGTAGGGGGCTTCGGACAGCAGTGAGCTGAGAGAGAGTCGACGCGAGGCGGTTGCGAGCACGGCTCGAAGTAAGGAAAGGCCAAAGAGAGAAGGGCGGGGAGTGACAACGCAGTAGAGAGAGAGAGAGAGAGGGAGAGAGAGAGAGGGTGAGAGGGAGAGACTGTGTGAGAGAGAGGGAGAGGAATGAACCGTGTGTGATCAGCGCGCTATAGACAGTGGGAAGCGCGCTTGCTCAGCCATTTGCCAGCTCGGTTGTGTCGCAGGCAGGGAACGAATGAAAAGGACGAGGAAGTGAGTATAGTGGGCGGGCGTCAGCAGCCTGTACTCGCGCGAACTTAGTCAGACTGCGAGGGACGGTGGAAGGAAAGACGGCGCGAACCGAGAGAAGTTGCGGGAGAGGGAGTGCACAGTGGGAGAGCGAGTACGCCGCTCCGGTGAAGGGCGGAGCGCTGCGTGAGAGGGAGTAAGCCGCTCCGGTGAAGGGCGGAGCGCTGCGTGAGAGCGAGTAAGCCGCTCCGATGAGGGGCGGAGCGTTGCGTGAGAGCGAGAGTGACAGAGAGAGAGAGAGAAGGGGAGAAGGACTGTCTAACTAGGAGAGAGATGGCCAGACCAAGAGATCGCGACATTTTGAAGTTACACCGTCATCCTCTCTAACTGGCTAACTGTGACTATCCTACTGCGGCCGGGCCAGAGACAACACTATTGCTTTTGCTAACTGGTTAACCGTACCTTCCCGCTGTAGGCGGGTCGTGGACAGCGGAGTTGCTAATTGGCCAATGGGGTGCTCCCACTGCAAGCGAGTTTAATCCTCGATGGCTGAGTAATCGAGCCTTCATGCTGCAGGGGGGACCCTACACCAATCAGGTAAAGGGACAGGAGTGAGGTAAGCGTGACCGAGCAAGGAACACTAAGCCGGCGCGTACGGGCGCCCCTTTACTCCTTTTTTTTCTTCCCTTTTCTTTCTTTATTTGCTATTGCTATTCCAGCGGGAGAGAGCTGCGAGAGAGAAGGGGTGGGAAAGAAAAGCGAGGGGGAACAGGGGAGCGCAACATCCTAGAAAGAGAGGGGAGGGAAGAGTGTGTAGGGCGGTCGTGTGAGGGAAACAGTGCAAGAAAAATGGAGAGGAAGGCAAACGGAGAAGAAGCAAGCAAACAAGTGCCAAAGGGGGGTGACTGAAGTGGGCAATTTGACCGTCCTCGAGGCGGAGTACGAAAGAGGATGCAGGGGGAAGGGGGAACTGAGTCACTGCGACCATGGTTGGAGAACGTGTCTTGATCTGTTTCGCAGTCGCCCAGCAGACTGCAGTCTGCAGGTAATCAAGCTTGCTTCTCCGAATGCTGAATGCTTAAAACTGTTGATCATTACTGACTGTGACCAGACCTCTCGCATGAACTCTCTGGGTGAATATTGAGAAACGAGCTTCGCGAGTCTCGCCGTTAATTCTGTTGTTCATTACGGACCATGAC